TTGATAATTGTGACTGTGTTAGATAGAAATGCCATCATTGTGATTTCACTATTCAACCATATGCTCAAACTTTTAAAGTACTGGAAAAAATAGGAGAAAAGCTCACATGACAACAACGACTTTTCAGAACTTAGACATAAAGGGCACCTCTGTCGTGGAATTGCCTATATATGTAAAAATGCAAATCATCCTGTTGTAGCTTCATCACGATCACATTGTACGCTCTTTGAAAATGACAATATATATTTTAGGAAAGCAGAAAACGCCTAATTTCAATCTGGTCCCATCAGTCTCGCAATTAAGTGACTAGTTAATAATAGAGAAAAGATTTGTAAGATAAGAAACGGACACAAAAGAGTACTTCATACATAGATACCTAATCTATTATGTGCTTTAAATATTTTAGTTCACCGTTAGGCATGTACCAATACAATATATTGGGCCTCAATAATGTTGGCCACTGAATCTATTGTGACCAATAATATTAGTCATCCAATATATTGGGTTTTCACGATATTATTGGGTATTGGATCACTTGAGTTTAGAATACAGGCGCATGCTTTATATCCCGTTTTCAACCAAAATATAACTCAATTAGGTATGCACCGATTAATAATCAATGTTAGGGCATTCAGCGAAGTCGTTTCAAATCAGTTATAAACAAGCTTCTAGAGTTGCCGGACGCCTCATTTTGTAGGAAAATGTTTGGTCTACTAAACTGTAGTCCTTCAAAAATTTTAATGTTATATCTAGAGAAAATACAATAAATCGAAAACACAATATAATCATAGAAAAATAATCGACAGTGGCTTTTTACGCTATTCTGCTCGGTTCTTGATGCTTATATTTCTCTCGCAGATAACACTAAAATGTATTTTTGCACTTGAGTTTGGTAGAGAAAACATTTTTCTACAAAATGAGACATTCGGCAGCTCTAAGTGCGTTTTTAAAACTCATTCGGAACGACTTTGCTGGATGCCCTAACATTGATTATTAATCGTTGCATGCCCAATTCCGATTGAGATATGCTTCCTCACGTTTTTATGAAGGTAAATGATATTAAGACTAACAAGTTGGAATCCCGTATTGTTCAAAGTATTAAAAAATATTAGCATCTGTCGATGGTATTTAGTACAACGTGCTAAAGTACCATTTGTCGAATTTCAAATTATCTAACTTACTTTGTAAGCGACAATAAAATCGAATCGTGGAATATATTGAATTTAATTGCTTTCAGTCCTATAACCATTTGGACATCATACCGAGGGTAGATTGATGAAAATCTTTCCTTCTGTTGTTTAACACGATAGAAAAAATAAAAAACAGGAAGAGATGATCTTCCTAAATCGAATTCAACTGAACGTAGATGAAACTGTATATTATTCTATTAATACAAACTATAAATGTCGGCAAAGTTCTAGACATTCATATTTTTCTCTGAGCTCACACTTGGAACAAATTCCAGGATAGTATTTAACTTTTTGTAAATAAAGACGAACATAATATGTAGATTTAATAAACTTCTGATGATTTCAATTATGCCACTATTTTATTTATATCTTTGTATAAAAGTGTGCTTCACAATTACACAAAACTCTTCTGAATCTAATGGTACTTATTTTATGAAATGAGAAATAAACTTCTTTGGGACTTTATACTTTAATATTTTGACTGGCGGAAATCAGCAACGCTTTTGATTTTTTCCCACGGGTTTGACAGTTGTTTGCTTACAAGAGAGACTTTTTACCAGTATATGAGAGAATGAGACAAAAAGGTGTTATTATGAGTGTGTGTTATAAGTTATAAGTCATTGTTTAGTTACATCATCTGAATTGTTGTTAAGACATATCTTCCCTGAATAAGATCTTTATGATGGGTGCTATGACACATTTTTAAAGTTAAACAATGACTATTATCAGCTTCACTATAATACATTTCAGAAAAGAGAAAAGCTTAAAAGAATATAATGCGTAATTCCATAATAATACATTTTCTGTCTCACTCTCTTTCAACCAAGCAAGTGTCAAGTATGTGAGAAAATATCAAAACTGTGGAGAGCTTCGATAACCTTAGTTAACAGAAACGTTAGCTGATGCGATTTTCCATTTCATTACACTTTTTGCATCCAGAGAGCATTGTTACTAACTGAGAAATTGTCTTTCTTTTTTTTTTCAAAGTGCTGCTTTATTTTCAAACACGTTTCTGTAGAAGTTTAATAAAATATGTGCTCGATAAAGATTACTTTCTGTTCGCTCAATATCTGAGTGATTTGGTGCCGATGATTTTCGATCGTTTGCTAGTGGCGTTTTCTAATGTTTTCCGAAAGTAATTTATAGCTAAATCAAACTAGTTGTTGTTTTCGTAAACATTAGGAATTATTCCATAGGCATTGGCACTTTTATGGTGGTCACTAGGTAAAATATCAGGCGCTTTATATTCATATTCTAATGCCAAATCATTTTCGTCCCCCCAATGGTTGGTAAACATCACCAACATTTTTATACGTTACAGTAATTTTTTTATATTTATTTTTACCAAATTTGTTCCATAAAGCAAATTCTTTTTGATAATACATCAATGCATTAGCACATTCATCAAATTCTAATGCAACTAATCCTAGTCCACGATAATAATTTGTTACCACTCACTTTCACTTAAAATTGATGTTTGCTCGAGTAGCTCTTGAAAATCTTTTGTAGCGTTTTCGTATTCTCCTTGTTCATATAATAACCATCCAACAGTAGTAATATCGTCGCCTACTTCTGTTTTCATTTGTACCACTAAATCAACTCGTAATCATCATCCGAACTGAAAGACAAAATGGCAATCTATATTTGTTCATGTTGATTAAATTCAAGTTGTTTAATCTTGAAAATACTTCCCGACATAATCAAAACTTCATCTTCTTCTCTAAAATAACTCAAATGCTTTATATCAGCGTAGGCTTTAGTCTTAGGGAGACGTGTGTCAATATCAATTTCAAATAGAATACGTTTTATATCGTCTGTAATCGTTGTGTTTCCATCAGCGTAAAAAAGTACGGTGTCAGGACTTGTACTTGTTGACAAAAAGTTATTGAAACTAATAAAATTCATCAGCATTTTCACGTATTAAATTCAGTTCATCAGTGGAAAACTATTAGCAACCCTATTAGAAGTACGTTTTGGCGAAACTTTTTTGAGGATTCCCGTATTCCGGCATTTTCCGATTTTTTTCGTGGATATAATAGAAGACCAGTGGTTTTCTATTTGGCTTTCAAGTCATATAATCGGCAGTGGTCTTCTAATAGGGGATGGTCTTCTATTATGGGGGAGGGGGATTTACAATGGTTCGTCCTTCCTGCTTTGACGCTGCGTACTGTACACAGTACATTGTACAGTATCACACTGTTGAAGCAAAGAAAGAGAAAAGGAAACATAAGTAAATCCAGGAAAAAGGAGGCAAATTTCGTACCACTTCGGGTCGGGGCGGGTTCGAGTCATTCATCTAAGACCCGATTCGGTCTCTGCGGGATATAGTCAAAATTTCTTCCGTTGCAGAAATGTTAAATATAGCTTGATCGGGATATATAGCCCGGTCGGGATATGGTTCTGCACTGGTTTTAAAAAGAAGAAACAAAATGTGTTTGTTATCGAGGTGACCATCGATATAGTAATCTTTCTCTTCTTCTTTTCTCTAGAATAATCTTCTGTATTGTATATTGTATATGTACCTTTTTTCTTCAATCTAACTGTACAGTTAATGTCAAGCCATCTCCTCTTCAATAAAATATTTTTAAACATATTCAACCAGTGCTAACAGTTGATGCACCAAGCCGGCTTCCAATTTCAAGAAGATTTGCGATTTTGTTGCAATTATTCAAAATCGACCACATTTACATGCAAGTAGTATGACATTTATTTAAATTTTCGTGCTTTCCTTTCCTTTGAAATTTCGTTCGTCCGAACAATTTTTCCAAAATCAAAATTAACTGTTCATTGACATTTGACATTGTTTTGTATGGTATTAACTAGAACTAGTTTAGATTTAGCAAAATTAAGTATTTCTCAAGTGATATCAAATCAAGGACAAGCACAACAATTAACTAAAGCAACTGCATTAAATCAAAATAATATGACTGATTCAAAAAATACAAGCGTAAGAAAGTCCGTTGCAAGACCAAAAAGCGAGAAAGTGAAAAGAAAAATAACTAGAAACTTACTATTATTCTTCTGAAAATCTTTTTGAAGCACAAATGTACTCTATAATTGCATGATATAGACATAAAAATTTCTTTTTAAACACCAAATGTTAAACAGAGGCAAGAATCTTCAGTTACCAAATGTTATATATGCTAAGAGACGTCCGTACTATCGTAAATTCAAGTTTTTTTGGCAAATGTATGCATTACGAAAAGCTAAAATTTACATTAGTTGTATGAGCAGTTGGATATAAAGTTTTAAATATAAAGCATAATACTGCCATGAAAAGCATTTTAATAATTTTCTTCTTTTCACCTAAACACTCGAGCTTTCGATCAGAACTTAGATCATTTTCAAGAGTGAATGACAAAAAGAAAAGCAGCAATATATATATCGTATTGGAATTTTAAAGCTATACTGCATCATGACTGATAAACTGATGTATGGTTCTACATTTAAGTCTTTCTGTTCAGCAGTAATATTCACCTGCTGAACAACATATTCACATCAATTTTAACAGTGAACGCCATAAGAAAAAGCGATTTTCGTGTTTAGATAAAAAATTGCAGGCTTCGTGAGATAAATATAGCTGATTTGATGATTAACAAGATACTTAGACATTTCACTGTGTAAGCAGGTGGCAGCATAATGTTTATTACTGTTTTTGTGCTTTCGAGTGAACGAGTTTCAATAATCATTTACATGAAATGCGTTTGCTCGAATAATTAATTATGATAACGATTAGCGTTGAAGCGAAATTTTTAGACTTTTTCCGCGAATTTGTGCTTTTTTGGCCAAATGAGTCAAGTGAAAACACGGAAACGTACCTTTCTACTGTATAATGTTTTTTCTTCACTTTATTGTTTGAGCCTATAAATCTTTTTCTTTCAATTCATACAGAACTGTCATTCTTCTCTTCGATTTTAACTTCGCCTGATTTTTTGCCTACCTCATATATATATATATATCGACCAAAATAATCGTAACGGAATCATCTTTTTCAACTACTTTCTAAAACAATTTCAGTCAGTACAAAAGATCGAAAGGTGAAAGTTTTATCAAATCTGTCTTATCTTCGGCTCAACAACTTATAAAAGTTCGGTTGAGTTTGAATTTATAGATCGAGTTTTATAAGAAAAATACCGACCGTTACTGAATCACCGAAAATGGAATAGTCATTCCGAAGGAGTTTAAAGTTATCTAAACCTCAGCGAATCTCCGTTCAATACGTAAAAAGTTTTGCTAGCAGTGTTGTAAAAATCTATCGATTGAAAAAAATTTTGTTCTACTTTTGAAATGAACGATAAAATAGCTAAAATATTACCATTACGGAATCACGCATTTTACAAACAACCATATTATCGCACTTCGTTTGTTTTCTCAAGAACGAATGAGAGTTAAATAGAAATGCCATCATTGTGATTTCACTATTCAACCATATGCTCAAACTTATAAAGTACTGGAAAAAATAGGAGAAAAGCTCACATGACAACAACGACTTTTCAGAACTTAGACATAAAGGGCACCTCTGTCGTGGAATTGCCTATATATGTAAAAATGCAAATCATCCTGTTGTAGC